TCCCACGACCAACTCCTCTCCCGTAATCTTCCACTGCCGAAGCTCTCTCAACTCCAAACTGAAAATCCACACCTCTCCTCCGAAGTCGTTCGGCCCAATCCCGCCGGCGATCTCCTCCCTCTCCAAGCCGCATCTTCAAGAAGCCGAATTAAGGAGAGGAGGGGGTCTTAACCTCCTCTGAAATTTAAACAGGATTTAGCATAAATCCTGCTTAAATTTTTAGCCTTAATCAAGCCTGAATCCTGTCAAACACTGAATCAAATATTGCTTAAAGAGTTATAATTAATTTAATTTGATTATAATTAGTTATTCTTCATTTTAGTTAATTATTATTATAAATTAAGTATAATTAATTAAATTTAATTATGATATATTATTTTTAATTATAATTTGTCATTAATTAATTATAAGTAAATCATAATTAATTAAATTTAATTATGATTACTTTTCTTTAATTAATAATTACTTATTAATTAATCATAAAATATTTGTAATTTAATATAATTAATTATAATTAGTATTTTAATAATAATAATCAATTGTTATTAATTATAACTAATTATTATTAAGTATATTAATTATAATTAGTTCAACACAACAAAATGAAAGAAGAAAAAGAAAGCTCCCTCTCTTACCTCGGCATGCGCATCGGGCCGGCAAACCACCCATGCACGCTTCTCTAGTGTGGTGGGAGGGAACTCGGTGCGACGCCAACGACGAGATAGGCGAGTGACTCATCGATCCACGTGCCAACATCTACAACATCGACGATCGCTAAGGTATAACACTCCTAAACTCTAAACCTTTGAAAACTCATTCCCGACGCTTGCAACGCGGCGAACGACCAACTCATGCACGCTTTTCTCTAGCGTGGTGAGAAGGGAATTCGTTGCGATGCTTGCGACGGGGCGGGTAATCAAAACCCCATTTTCGGCGTTAGCGGCGGACCGGAAAACCAACTCATGCACGCTTTTCTCTGGCGTGGTGGGAAGGGAACCCGGTGCGACGTCTACGGCGAGGCGGGGTAAATATAAACTTGCTTATTTTGAACTGGTGCTCGCAACCCATGCACGCCTTTCTCTGGCGTGGTGGGGAATAAAAATTATTACGGCCGCGGTGTCCTGGTTCGAGGGCACCTACCATGCACGCTTTTCTCTAGCGTGGCGGGAGGCCCAGTTTTCCGTAGTTTTCCCCTAAACGGGGGAGACACCGGAAGGTTGCCGAAATTTCGGGTAAACATAAGATCGTAATTGGGACAATTTGGAGCTTTACTTGGACTTTGATTGGAGCATCAAATAGACTTAATTCAAACTTAAACAATCAATAAAAAGTCCAACTTGAATGCAAACGAAACAAGAGAATGACTCGAATTCAAATGAACTACATGGGACTTATGAACTCGAACCGGATTGAACAGAAGTCAACAATTTGATTGAACTCAAGAGACTACAAAGGACTAGACTTGAACAATTTGAGCAAGGACATAGAACTTGTACTCGAACAAGAGTAGAGGACTTATGAACAAGGATGGAACTTGAATGAACATGAACTTGGACTCTCATTTGAACTTGCAACAAATGACCTAATTTGAACTTAAACTTGAACATGAGCTTGGGCTTGAACTCAAGCAAGAACTTGATTGAACTCAGAGGACTTGTGGACATACATTTGAACTTGAATTTGAACAAGGAACTCACATTTTGAAAAATACAAAAGGACACACTATAATTTGAGCCTCTTTTGATCATGATTTGAATAATCATGAGAACTTGTAACTTGACCAAGGAAGACTTGAATCAAGTCTGGTTAAGAAGGGAACTTGAACCAAATGGCATAGAACCTAACTTGATCTTGGCTCTAATTGAATGCAATCAAATAAGCTGTGATAAATAATTTTTTGCATACCATTTTCTTATAAGCAATAGTGCAAAGGCAATGTGAAATTTATAAGTGAACAAGCCTTCAACATAGACTTGTGAAAAGAGCACGAAGGTACCAATGAAGAAGAACTCTTCCAAGGATATATCCATTTGAAATGGCTCTTAATGAAAGTAATATGACTTCCTACAAATTTACATGAAGAGTAACATGAAGTTTTCCACTGTGTTTAAAGCATTCAGTGCACTCAAACAAATATTGACGAACAAATGAACTTGTGATACAACTTGCTTGCAAGCAAAGACTAAATGGAAGAAACAACTACAATCATTCATGATATTTATATCAATCATATGGGAGAAATAGTGATCCAATATCATAGCACACTGAGAGAAGCCACGAAGAATATGATTGGTATTGGTTAGCTTGTAGCTAATGATGGCTAGTTCATGACTAATGAAAGCTAGTATGATGACAAGTTCAATGACCTGCTCGTAGTTAATGATGATAGATGCATGCAATAAAAGTGATCATTCCCTAATATTGATGTAGCAGTCTATCTACAGATAAAGGCAAAAGATACATAGCAAATACAAATATCTATGATCCCTTACAGCAGATCCGCTATATGTATCATATGTCATTTGTGGACAAATACGAAAGAGACTATAGCAAACACAAGCTTCAAATGCAAGCACCTACGATCGGAAGCAGGAGACTCGTTAGTGCACTACGATCCACCTGCAGAAAGCAATCATAGTGCACGACAGTCTTCCTGTACGAAGCAGCGAATAACTCTATTCAGAAGCTGCAATGCCACGCCGCCGGATCTGCAACATTCGTACAAGCAGACAGAAGGCGTCCACAAACTACAATGCCCCGCCACCGGATCCGCAACTTTTATGCAAGCGGACAGAAGACGTCTACGAATACTCCAAGAATACCCCCACATGTGCACTGTAGTTTGTATACACAAAGGTACACTAAAAGGGATAAAAGCAATCACAAAATTTGCATAGGCCCCGGTGAGCGTGTTATAGAAATACACGTGACGTCTAGAGATGCTGCGCGGGTTATCAAATTTTGAACCCGATCCTCCTAAGAAGATAAAAGGAGTGGACAGGGTTCAATTATAAAATACCCTCAAACACCCGCATGGGCCTCGACGAGCGTGTTATTGGTACACACGTAATGTCTAGGGATGCTGCGCGGGTTGACAAGTGAATTCAAGTTCGAACCCGATCATCCTATACAGATCAATAGGAGTCGACAATGTTTGAACCAACAAATAAATGTGGCCGTGGAGACCAGAATATTTGTTTTAATACATTCATATTAGGCCTTCAAAGCCTAAAATCAAGAGAATTCACTCTCAAAGGCATAAAGCCTACGAAACCCGATCCTCTGTCGACAGCTTGACAGAGTTGACAAGGTTCAAGCTTTAAAAGAGAAATGACTTCGAACACCCCGATGATGGCCGTGCTGAATGAAAATCTCAACCGGAGGGGTCCATTCCAAATATTTTCATAATGCCACTCAAAATACCCATAAAAATAAAAAAACTCCACAAAAATCCCAAAATATTTAAAATGAAACTATCCATCTCAACGCTTAAAGCAAAATCCATCCACCCTCCGCAACAGTTTGCCGAGGTGGACAAATTTAAAACTACTTCAGCTCACAAAGAGCCAAATGCCTAGTCGAAATTATTACTAGGATCCATTCTCAAACAGTCTCCTGCCGATAAGGACGTGGTACGTGTCCTCTGACCGGCGGTCTACCGCCAAAGCCGAAAGTTCTTTCTCGTGATCGGGAGGGGTAATTAATTATAGGGGCTTGCGCCTATAGGAAACCAGAACTCAGATCATAAAGTCTTCACAAAATGAGGGCGAAATCTATGGGTAGTGTCTTATCTACAAACCCATCTGCCTTCCAAAATTTACCTCGGAACTTATTCAGTTAAAACTCCCTCACCGAATAAAAGAAAAGCCAGCGGAGGTCGGGGCCGAATTTTCGGAGCCCACAAAAATCTAATTATCAAATTTAAATTAAATGTTGAGTATAGGGGTGGAAGTTTTGAGAGTATTCTAAAAAGGTTAATAATAATATTGGAAAAATAAAATAATGATGGAAGCAAGTTCACGAATGGATGGAATGTGGAGTGTTAGAATTGTGGGAAGGTTATTTACTTGAAGAAAAATCAGATAGTATTGAAGAAAAGCGGTGATAAAAATAATGATGCGGCAAATATAGTCATTGAAGAGATGCACATGATTCTCGCCACTTTACCAACTATAGCCCCTACCATGAGCCACCTACTGTGACAAAAAACTTTTGGAAGCATGCCCTTGCTTACATAAAAACCTTTATTTATATATATATATACCCTTTGGCATCCTTCCTCCACAAGCATTTGCCGTATAGAGTTTAGGCATTTTAGTGCTAGGCCTTTTTTGTATAATTTGTTCGACTAAATTTGAGCTTATCAAAGCGTCTACTTCTTCCTTGGGCCCTAAATTCAAGAACCCTTTTTATGGATGGTTTGTTTTGAGGAGCATATATTTCAATAAAAAATGGTGGCCTATCATTATATTCTTGCAGACTTAAATTTGATCCACGATCTTCTCAAAAATTGCTCTTATCAATCATATCTTACTTCTTTTTTTTTTTCGTCAACTCTATTAGATTCATGGCCTCGAGATCTTTCAGATGATATATTTTATTGATTGATTGGATAATTGGTCACCGATAAATACCGTTGTACCACAGACATCGATCACCTAACCCCAGCTTAACCCAATCAGGTCATTCATGCTGACAAAGTGCCAGATCATCCAGTCAATTTTGGTCAAGGGATGATGTGATATGGTGTTTCCATTGCTGCTAATAATAAAGAATATTCATGCATATAATTATGTATAAAGACTAAAATATTCTCGAATTATACTTTTTCAGGGGCTTGAGGATTTTACTTACAGTATAATAAGGTTTCTAGTGTATTTTATTGATAGATTTGCTAAGTTTTTTGGGGTGTAGAATGCAAATTTACTCCAATAGCTTCTCTGTTCCATGGAATATATATATATATATGTTTAATTATTTATTTATTTTGTGTAAACCAGGTGCTGGTATTGATCTCTCATCACTGATAGTTGTTGAGGGTAAGGTTTGCTGGGACCTTTATATTGATGGACTTGTAATAAGCTCAGATGGCAATTTGTTGGATGCACTAGCTGCTGCCATCAAGGTAGTTTGTCTGATCTCTGTTTATACTATTGATACACGTGTACAGATGATTTAGTAGGAACACACTGATGTAATACATGCTTGGAGTCACACAATATTATCAAGAGAATTTAATAGAAGTTTAACCTTTATAAAGTTGTGCGTCAATTCAAAGTAAGTTAAAGGAATTCACGGTCTTCCACTTGCTTAGGCAAAGAATCGCGTGAAGAATAACCAAGACGCTCTCAATCAAATACAAATGTGAAGTAATGTAAAAGCTTATAACATAAATCCGAAATTTAATAATGAGGTGTTCACCTTGAGGATCTACTCTCTTCCCTACGGATCTAGGTTGAGCGGAGGAAGATCTTCCACACTAGAAATGAAGTTACCACTAGGACGAACGAGCTGAGGAACGTCGTTGTTGGGAAGGTAGCCTGAGGTGGAGGTGGTACATATCGTCCGGTGAGGGGCCACGGGGTTCGTGGTCGTTGAAGTTCAATGGTCCCGACAAGACAATACACAATACGGTTGACGTAGCATTCGACGGCGACGTCGTACTCCCAGTCCGGTTCGTAGAAGTGGGAGAGGAAGATATCGATCTCTCCTTGTTTGTTGTAAGCAAAGTGGTGATCAACTTCCGGATTCGCCATGCATTCTTGCCGAGAGATGAGGAAGTCCCAATGGAAAGAGGAGGGAGTGGGAGTAGCGGCTTGGAGGGAGGAGAGTGTGAGTCGGCGGGAGGGTTTGGATGGGTCGGCTAGGAAGGAAGACCCAAAGGTAATGCAAAAAATCTGAAATTCTTTCAGATTTTAGTGGTTTGGGGAGGGATTTAATTTGAAAATTCAAACTAATCCAAAAGGGGAGAGGGGCGGTAATCGGAGAGGGATTTGGGGCTGATTTTGTGGGGAATTGGAATTAATTTGGGAGAGAGAAGGAGCCCATCAAGGGGCCGGCCAAAATAGAGAAGAGGGAGGGGAATAGGATTTAATTAAGTGGGGCCCACATGTAATAAAAGCTGTAGTAATTTCAGATTTTAACAAAAAGGAAAGTTTCCTTACTAGAGTGTAAACAATAGGCAATGTTTTGAATTTCAAATTGGAATTGAAATTCAATTATGACGATTGCCTAAATTCTAGGATTTATTTTAGGAAAGTAATCAACACCTCATGAGAAATTTGAATTTCAAATGCAAGACCCAAGAGGGGTCGGTGGCAAGGTGGGATGGCTGCAAGGGGGTCGGCGGGTGGGGCTCTTGGCCGGCGGTGTGGTTTCAGCCGGCGGCTAGGCTGGGAGGGGCGGTGGGATGGGTTTGGTGGAGAGAACCGTGGGGAGGAAAACAAGGGGAGAGCGTCACGGATCTTGGGAGAAGGAAAAGGAAATTTAAAATCCACAAACCTCAAATCTTCATCCACAAGAACTCACAAAGAGATCTACAACACTACCTCCTCAAGAACTCACAAAGAGATCTAGAGGAAGCACCACGACTCACAAAGAGATCAATAAGGGAAAAAATTTTCATTCATCTACTAACTCAATACATAAGAAGATGACCATATATATAGGCCTCAAAATGACAGATAAAACAAAAGGCTAGAATGTCCCTTGGGCTACAATAGCGACCAACTACCCATGAGGGCAAAAACGAAAAACTGAAATAAAATGATTAATACATAAAATGCTAATACAGAAAATGCATCAAAAGTAAAGACTCTCCATCATGGCCATCGATCTCCTGTGTCGCCTCTGATAAACACGTTGAAACCTCTTGTTGATGTCTCCATCACACACTTCCTAAGATTGTGTTGGTTGAGGCTTCATTTGGGATAGCTTTCTTACTGCTTTCTAGTACAAAAATTTCTTGAATTAAAAATTTTTGTACTAGAAAGTTGCTTTAAAAAGTTGTTCCAAACAAAACTTGATTGGTAAAATTAAAACTCGTCTTTGATGTTTATACATGACTGATTTTTTTAATCACTGAATTGAGGTTCTCCAATAGAAGCCTGGCTGGATTTGAGGGAATTGAACTTAGTAATCGAAGAGCTCTAAAATTCAGTTTCCCAAATAGTGAGAAAGCTAGTAGGCTAATGATGGTGATAATTGTTAGGCATGCTTGCCTTCATATATTTGGCATATATAGAATATATACTTAAATTCATATTTCTAGTTAGATTGTAAATTACCTCTGTTGTAGGCGGCTTTGAGCAATACAGGCATCCCAAAAGTAAGCGTTTCTGTTGGAGCTTCAGGGGAGGACCAGCCAGAAGTGGATGTAAGTGATGAGGAGTTCATGCAGTTTGATACATCTGGGGTTCCTGTTGTCGTAACTCTGACAAAGGTACTGATTAATCTATTGTTATTTTTCTTTGGAGTTCTTCTGGCTGAAGATGTTGATGGTTAAGTTTATCTCTGTACTTCAGCATTCATTTCAAGTTTATGATTAATATCATAAAAAGGTTGTGAAATTTATATAGCAAATTCAAACATGAATTGTTCCAGGTGGGCAGGCACTACATTGTGGATGCGACCTTGGAAGAGGAGTCTCAAATGAGCTCTGCAGTTTCAGTTTCTGTGAATAGGCATGGTAGGGTTTGTGGGCTTATCAAAAGGGGCGGTACTGGATTGGATCCAAGTGTTGTGCTTGACATGGTCTCAGTGGCAAAGCATGCCAGCGAAACCCTGATAGCTGTGCTGGATTCTGAGATTGCTTCTGCAGAAGCAATTGATGACGATGATGCAATTTAGGATGATAAACCTATTATTTGCATGCATCATTGTAGAAATGTTCAAAATGTACTGCTCTCTCTTTAGGACCTTTCCTCAGTAAATGATTTTTTTTATTTACAGACGAACCCTTTGCTAATTGTGTTCTTATGTGGATCAAAGTAAGCATTTGTATGCATCATCATACTGAATGGTCTTGAGCTAGCTATATAACTGCTAAGATTTGCCTAAGCTCACAAAAGAAGAGCTATAAAAAACTCCGATGGAAATGAAACCATTCTTTTTTCTTTACAACTGCTAACTTGGTGGAATTGGTAAATTGCTACACTAATGATATGAAATTGGTCTCCAGCTGATGGTGGAATATCCTATTGTACGTTATGGTGGCCCTGGATAGATACAGTTCTATACGATTAAATTCCCGCACCGTCAATTAGAGGTTTTATTATTTAAAAAATGAAAAACTTAGGCTGACGATGGCTTGCTGGCTATAAGTTATAAGACAAACAACCTAATTAATGATACTCGTAGAAAAACAATTTAGCTTTCCTGTACACAGCGAGTTCAATTAATGGGTAATGTCTCATTACTCAATCCGATCTGAATATTTGGTGCAGTTAGTCTTTCGTTACCTATAAACTTATGAAAATAATTCTGCAAGGCATTCCTTAGAGCATTTGCGACGATGAATTTTCATTCTTTGTAAGACTCGTTGTCATATTGGAGATAAAAAGTTATTATTCTCAGATAATTCAAAGTAAATTTGATTAATCATTGAAAGTGGAATGGATGTTGGGAACTTTGCTTAACCAAACAAAGTGGATTGAATGATTAGAATTTGTGAACTTGAACATTCCAATTACCATGATGGCGATGATAGTTGAGAATCTATAACCCTCTCTGGCACTCATCTTCCGCTCAAAGTGCCACTATGGTTACGCATTTCAACAAAAAAAAAAGGAAAAGTTGTTTTAGAATTGGTCTGAAACAATCCTGGCACATGGGGTTTCCAGCAATTAATGAAGGAAAAGCATAATGCTTGGAGCATTAACTTTATCCTATAATATACCTTGCTTCATCCTATATAGATTAATATATGTTGAGCTTTATATATATATATATATATATATATAGTGTACCCTAATAAATATAGCACAGTAAATAGTTGCTTTAACTATTGTATATTCAAGTTTTATATTCCATATGATTTATTTTATTTTATTTTTATTGCATTGAGGTATGCAATATGAACAATAAAATGACAAAAATGATTATATAATAGTAGGTAATTAATGTCTTTAATATAATTCATATTCTAGTATGATGATGTTTATGCCAAGTGTGTATAATAACTATAATCAATAGAATAGTTAACAAATTCTAGTATGATGATGTTTATGCCAAGTGTGTATGATGATGTTATATAATTGATTATAGCTATGGTGAATATGAATTATATTAGATGACACCTAGTGGGATAGGCTTGCAATGATAAGGAGAAGTAAAGGTACAAAGAAAGCTCACCACTATAAGATTTTTAGTCAAGAGAGAAGACGTAGAGGAGGTTTCCTATTTTCAATTTTCAATTAAGAGGAAGAGGAAGAAAAAATGTATAAGGTAACTTGACTGCTCGAACAAAAAAGAGAAAGGCTTGTAACCTTGAAGCTCTTGGTCAAAAGAGAGAGGAATTATCAAAGACTGTGATTGACCAAAGAGTTGAGAGGAGTGAAATTCCCTATCTTCATATCTTTCTTAATTGGAAGAAGTAAAGCCATAAGTGTGAGATTGTGTGAAAAACATGGCCTAAAAGGGGGTCAGAGATAGTGTTTTCTATAGGTTTCACATGAGGTGGACGGGCCTACCAAAGTCTTTAGATAGTATCAATTTGGTTTAGGATATTATAGGAATTGTGATGCAAAGAACTAGTACATTATAAGAAGAGGATCATCTTACCCACAAATATTATATTTTTATTTTTTATACTATTGTTATGTCCACTTTTTTCTTAGCTTTTTGTCTCTTTTTAGTTACAACAGTACCTTACAACCTTCTGTGATAAAAAGAATAATATATTTATTAGGAATATATAATGATACAAGTAGAGAAGAAGGGGGGAAGATGAGTAGAACTTAATTATTTTTCTTCTACTATTTTTTTTTTCTATTTCTCTCTATTATCCATTACACCTTCTTCTAAGGCAGAGCATCACCATCGAAGGAGCTTATATCAGGTACACAGTAGGTTGGTATCGAAGCTCATTTTTATCCATAGAAGTGTTCATGCATAGGGAAGTAATCATATTGCTCTTGATGACGATCAGAGCTTGGATGTATTGTGGATATTGCAAGGTAATATCATCAAATAGCTCGATGAATAGTATTCAAAGTTCTTTCGATTTGTAGCTGAAATGAGGAGAGAATTAAGCGATTTTAACAACTAGTGGGTTCAATCCAAACCCACGATGAGCTATTTTAGTAATAAATATGTCAGTGAAAGCTCAAGTCCCCCCCAAAGATCGGGACAAGAGATGTCATCCATGACCTTTACATAATAATTCAGACTCTGATGAATATGAACCAAGAATGCATGTTAAAATCAATGATTATGATGAAGAATTTTACCACATTCATCCACCTAAACGCAGATCATAAGAACAATATAAAGACATTCATATTGAAGATATTTGGATTGGGTGAGAGCTATGAAAAGTTTCTTTGAATATAAGAAAAACACACTGAATAAATAGGTAAAATATGTTGTATGTCACTGGGAGGGGGGGGGTCCATGTTTTTGGCGGCATCAACTTCTCATTGTCGTGAAGGGAAAGGTTGTGCTCGAAGTTGATATCGAATGAAACACTTTTTGCGAGGCCATTTTTTACCAAATGATTTTGAGCACATGCTCTATATCAAGTAACAACATTGTCTTCAAGGTATACACACTATTAGTGACTACATAGAGGAGTTATACAAGTTAAGTGCTTGCAATAATTTGAACGAAAATACTCATTAATTGGTGGCATGTTACATAGGTGGATCGAAGGAAGCAATTCAAGATAAGCTAGAGTTAAATTATTTTGAAGGTTGAACTACAACTTAATCAGCATTCACAGAGTTATTCACAGTGATGTAAACTCAGTAAACATACCTAAGAACCAAAATCCTTATCTCATGTCAACAAATAGCCTTACATTACAACATAACAACTCCCAATTAACAATCCTCCATCATATGTTAGAACACATGTTCATCCATGTATTAAGACTTAGGATAACCCATATTCAAAATAGACTAATTTCAAATGTTACTAGTGTTTTCAATCGGGGTACAAATCAAATGTGTGTCCTCAGTTTTAGGTGGTAGAAGGAGGATGTGATGATAAAAATACACCATTAGAAGATGAGTATGGATTGAAATTGATGACATCGTGGATGATGAAGGAGAAGCGGTAATTTGTATCCTAGAGAAGTTATAATTAGTTCCTAGACAACCCACGAGCTCTCAATGCACAATAATTTTTTGCACTCGATGCACTATTAATGGGGAAGTATGTGACTTACTAATCGACAATGGTTGTATTGAAAATATAGTATCATTTTCTTTAGTTGAAACTCTACAGTTGAAAACTACAAAGAGATCACAATTATATAAGATAAGTTGGGTTAAATGTGGAATAGAGATTCATGTTTCAAAAATGTGTCGAAATACAATGTCAATTGGGAAGTAATACTCTTGTGAGGTACTATGCGACATCCTCAATATAGATTTGTACTACATAATTTTGGGTCAGCCTTAGCAATATAATAGTAATATGATAGTGGCACACTCTATGATAGGCGACAAAATACTTAATGTTTTGATTGGAAAGGGAAATGACTTTGAATTCTACCAAATTTTGTTGAACCAGTTAATTGACTTGCGAGGAATAAGATAACCTTGAACATTGTCTCTGGTTCAGCACTATTGCTTGATAGCCGTTAGTTTACGGATATCTTAGTATTGGCGTCCACTATGTTCAGTAACCAAATTCCAAAGCCAGATCCTGGATAAAAGGTTTTGTCGCGGCCCGGTGCGAGCGGGATCCGTCCCGGATCGGGTCGGGTCGTGACACTCAACCCCTTCAATTAATCCAGGCTTTTTTTATGTCGATTTGAATATCTCATACCTCTAGGATTATCGTTAGGTCTACCTCTTGTCCGCTTAATAAATCATCAAATTGATCTCATGCCAGGATCTGCTTTGCCAAACCTACCACACTATAGAATGAGTCATAAAGAGCATGTTATTTTACAATAATTAATTGATGATCTCTTGTGTAAACGACTTTTTCACTTGAGCGTAAGTCCTTACGTTGTATCAGCTCTACTTATTCCAAAAAAAAAAAAAAGGAAGGACAATAGAAAATGTGCATAGATAGCCATGTGATCAATAAAATCACAATCAAGTATTGCTTCCTCGTCTTACGACTTGATGATCTATTGGACTAATTAGTGGGATCCAATATATTTTCTAAGCTTGATCTATGCAGTGGGTATCATCAAATCTACATTCATCTGGGAGACAAATGGAAGATGGCCTTCAAAACACACCAAGGATTATATTAATAGAAATTCATGTTGTTTGAGTTATGTAAATCCCCATCCATTTTTATGTACTTGATGATTGAGGTATTGAAACCCCTCCTAAGTAAATTTTGTGTTGTTTATTGCAATGATATTTTTGTATATAGCACCAACCTTTTGGAACATCTGGATCATCTTACGTAGATTTTTTAGACTTTGAGAAGTCATAAGCTTTAGCTTAACTGAGCCAAGTGTAAATTTGTAACACCAAAGTTTTTTTTCTTGGGATTCATAGTGTCTGTTGAAGGTGTGTTTGTCGATTCACAAAAGGTGCTAGCCATTATGGAATGATCTACCCATCAAACATATTTGATGTTCATTGCTTTCACGTTCTTACTAACTTCCAGTGACATTTTATCCGGGGCTTCAGCATATTTATAGCCCTATAACAGATTGCTTGAAGGCAAAGAGTTTTATATTGTATACTACACAATAGAATAGTTTTGACAACATCAATAATGCTTTATGCTTAGTATATTTCCTTGCTTTGCCAGACTTCAAAAACCATTTCAAGTGGGCTTTGATGCATCAATAGTGGGTATAGGAGTTGTTCTACCTCAATTAGCTCAACCAATTGAATATTTTAATGAAAAACTTAGCTCAACTCATTAGAAATAATAATTATATTCAATTGTTAGAGCACTTAATATTGGGAA